ATAGTATTGACCAATCTGAAATATAGAGTTAGGACATATTAGCAAAGTTCTACCAATTGGATTAAATCTTGTAAATCATGGATATATTTTGAAATAATATTTTATAATAATACTTACCACAATTGGCCTCCTGATTGTTGAAAAAGTAACCTGCCGATGGCATCCAGAATGCTTCGCATATGCAGGCTCTAGAAATGGGATTACAGGTGCCATGGCCGGAGCAATCGTTCTGGCAAACGGTGGTGCGAATGTCGACAGCGAATGCGCCCAGTATGGATGCATCCTTTTGGAGTTGGGTCCTCAACTGTCGCTCCACTTGCAAGCCATCCAGTGCCGTTCCCTGGCCATCGTTCACATAGAAAACTAGGACCGTTGCGTCCGTATGCAGATCGTACTTGAGTTCTCTAACTTGGATCTTGTTCTCGTCTCCCAACAGAAGTTGGAGTTTCTGCACCACCGAATCCAGTTCGGATTGGGCGAGCACAGAGATGCCCATGGGCAGGGTCATTTGCACCAAGTTCAACAGCTTCGGATCGCGCCGAACATTCACGCTCACGGTATCAGAACTCGTCAAACCCTGATCATCGCTTACAGTCAGTGTAAATACATAGCGGCCTTGTACTAGATTGGTTAACTAGAAAAACGTAGAAATAACATTAATATTAGTTGGATAGATTTTTATAGATTTACTCACAATCATGACGGGTTCTTTGTCGGTGTCTGCCACAATGACACCGGCTGCCAGGCTGTGTTCATCACGTGTCCACACATACTTAACCACTGCCAAGTCATCCCAGGATTTGGAACCATTGAAGTAGATAGCGGTGGCTGGCAACGTGATGGTGTGATCTCCGCCACCGTTGGCTATTGGGGCAGCATTGCGTTCTGTTTCGGAAAGAAAATACAATTAGGAACCTTGGTTATTTGTAGTCCATGGATTAAGTAACTACCTTGTACGATCTTCACCCAGGTGGTGTCCGAAGCTGTATTATTATTCTCATCAGCAACACTTAACTCAAACTCATAGAGCCCCAGTGTAAGCGAGGTTGCATTGGCAATCTGTGGTATTACAAACTATTAAATAGGATCAACCTTTGTAGATATATACACTCACCGATGAGTTTGACTTTAAAATAACAGCGTTATTGGGCCCACTTAGCTGCTTCCATGAATAACTCTTAATACCAATGTCATCTTTGGATTCCGAGCCATTTAAAAGTACCCAGTTAATGGGTAAACTAGTGGTCTGTAAAAAGCAACACATTAAACCAAATGAAAGGTAATACCTAAGGCTTAACCTACCGTATTAGTTCCCGCCTCCGCAACTGGAGGAGAATTAGTGGGAGGTTTCACAAAGACATGGACTTTAGCCGTACTGGATTGTCCACTGCCATCCGTGACTTTGAGTACAAAGGTGTACATGCCCTCCTCCAGATTGGACAACTGAACATAAGGTGTCCTGGTGTTCTGCATATCCACAGCCTTGGCCTCATCGCTGGCATCCTTGGTCCACTCCCAGGCCACGATCTCGTGATCATCCGAGCTGGCTGTTCCATTCAGAGTTACATTATTGTTGGGTAAATACAAGATGACAGCATCGCCTGCATTTGCCACCGGAGCGTAGTCTGTTTCCTTGAGAACTGCTATGGTGGCAGTGGTGGAGTTGGTTATGTTATTTGAATCGGTTACGGTTAGCTTAAACGTGTAGTTTCCCGGCGAAGTGAGATCCAGCTGGAGGGTATTTACCTCCGGCAAAACGGGCTGGTAACCAATGGGTCCTGAGATGACCTCCCAGTGCCAATTGGTAATCTTGTCGTCATCCGTGCTGGTGCTGCCATCGAGTATGGCATTGGTGGTGGGCTGCCGGATGATCTGCTCCCTTGGCGAGATGATCACCTGCGGTGGCTGATTGATGCGGTTCTCGGGAAGCACTGTTACATTAGCTGTCGCCTCGCCAAAGGTTCCATTGTCTCCAGTTACAGTGACCTTAAAGGTGTAAAGTCCCTCGGAGAGATTCGAGAGCTTAACTTTGGACTTGCTCTGATCCGATATTGTGCCATTCATCGGACCCTTGGGCTGGGAAATGAGAGTCCACAGGTATTTGTACTTGGTATCGCTGGTTTGCTCATCGGGAACCGTAAAAGCCGCGAGGGTCACCTCCTGCTCCGGTAGCCGAACTTCCTTAGACATCACCGAGACTACGATATCCTTGTTTTGTTCAGTTTTCAAGGGCGGCGCAGATACCTCTGGAGAATTCTCACTTGCCGCCGCTTCCTGCTGTCCAGCCTCATTGCTGGTGAGATAGGAGCTATATGGAACCGCTGCCATCACGCATTTCCTTTGTTTATTCCACACGAAGCCTTCGGGACAGGTGCAAACGCCTCTCACCGCATTCGGCTGGAGTGGGACACATTGTTGGGGCGGCGGACATGGTGTCTCCACATCGCAGGTGGTGAACTTGGCATTAGCATCGTAGTAGCCGATCTCTTCGTTGGCCAGCACATCGTTTTCGTCGGGCTGGAAGATCAGTTGATTCATCCGTTTGTCCGCCAATGGGAAATCTTCGTCCTCATAAACTGGGGTTTCCTAAAACAAGAAGTTTAAGATTACCAAGTGATTTAAGAGAATATAAGTGTATAAGTGTTACTTGTACAGTTTGATTAAAAGCTTAATTAAACTCTTCACAACATGAACTAATATCTTCCAATTACCTCAAACATTGACAAACAACTAAGAACTTAACGCACCTGATTTCGAGATAGATAGCCCAATCTCCTGGGCTGTTTCCAGAAGTTGAGGGCTGCCTCATCGTAGGGCAGGATCTCGGCATTCTGCTTGGCCGCCTCCGCCTTGAGGAGCTGTGGCCAGGTGGCCTCGCCCAGTGGATTCACCAGTACCATCTGGACCTTCTCGTTGGGCATCCGAACCCTCAGCTTGGGCAAACAGGCTTCGTTGCTCTGGCAGCGGATGTGGTAGCACTTTCCCTTGAAGACCAGGACCACATTGCAGGCATTGGTGGCGTTGCGAGGCTTCTCGCAGCACGCCTGCAGGCAGTTCCAGAGATAGGCCTCCTCCTCCAGGGGCTCCACTGAGTCCGGCGGCGGCTTGTACTCCTCGAAGACCCCCGCCTGCTGCTCATCCCGCGGCGTGGCATTTTCGAAAACATGTCGCAACATCTTGTGGCACACCAAATTGGGGGCCGTGGCGCCGCCAACTAAAGAATCCGGGGATTCTTTGTGTTTTTTACTTCCGCCCAGCAGAACATTCTGCGTCGTGACGTCGGCATATGCTGACGCCATCGAAAAAGCCAGCAAAAGCAGGCTGAAAGTCCAGTTGCCCACTTGAGCCATCTTTAGCTTGGTTTCCGCCGCAAAGAACTGGCAGTTTGCTAGAGTTTCGCGACTAAAATCACCAGCAAAACACTGGAACTGCGATTTTTTCTTTCGGCCAGCGCACAACAAAAAATGAAAACCAATTACTCCAGCTGACAGCTGATTTATTATGGCAGCCCTGCGCAGTAATCAGTGTTGTAAGTGGTACGGAGTTGGTTCCCAAGAGAGTGGAATGAGTGTTGGATGTTACGAGCGGAATAGAGCGTTAGATACGGAAGTTACCGCCGAGAAATAACGAAAAAAGCTCGGGCGAAAAGCTTTCTCTCTTCGTTGCTTGGTAACGGTTTTTATTGGGCATTGCTTATTTGTACATTACTCATTTGAATAAATTACGAAATTATTGATTAGAACTACATATTAGATTTTATGGAATAAGAAATAACAATTCACTGTCAAATATAATTTTTAATAAATTTTAAGTCTGAAATATATATTGAGATAGCTTTTGTTTACCACAAAAACTAATATAAGGTTTATTCATAGAACGTTATGCATTATAATTGGATCAACATTTGAATTCTAAGCAGCAGGGAATATCATGTCATATATAAAAACCGGTTGACACTCTGATGAGTTATGACTTTCGTTTTAGGATGACATCCTATTTAAAACCCAGCTATAATATTTCCCGCTGCTGTATTTACTAAATAAGGTCTCTTTCTGCCCACACACAAAACACCACAATACACACCCATCAGCCATACTGTGTGATTTAAATAATAATACATACGGCCCACGCGCCAATCGAATTTCACAAATCACATTGCAGAGAAATTAATTACTTCTCTAGCAAATTCAGATAAATCACTGTATTGTATTTATGCAAATTTTTAATTGTAAGACACGCAAATGCAAAGCAAAGAATATAAATCAAGCTGGCTTGACCGAATCGAACCAGATCCTATGCTCAGCCTGGTCGGCTTGTTCCGTTTGTTGTTGGGCCCCCTGAAATCCGTTGAAAGTCTATTTATCTCACCGTATAATTTTCAGGGTCTTGTTTAAGTTTTTTATGGCTAGCCGCTCCATTATCTAAAGCTGCGGCATTAACTACCCAAAAAAAAAAAGAAAAAAAAAACAATAAAAATTATTGATTGCAAGCTGAGATATCAGAGAAACATTGTTTGAGATCAAAAAATAAATAAGGTCAGAGGTATTATGTTTAATTTATTCTAATCATGACCTTAAAAGCAATGTATTTAATTAAAAAAAGCAAGAGAATCAACTACAACTGAACATCAGATAATTTAAAGTCCTCAGACCACCACTATTTGAAGAATTCCCATTTATATAGCCCATAAATAAATACAACACATAAATCTTATTGAATGGCACGCGTTAAGCATTTGAACGAGTGTATAAAAAATGGCCCATCAATTGTTTGAATATTTTATTACTTCATGGGGAATCCACAATTTCTGTATACTTGCTTTTTATCACATTTTACTGAAAGCTGCGAGATATGTAAGCGTAAATGTACATATATCTACATTGCTTAGGTTTCTCATTGCCATATAAGGAAAGCATTCCACAAGTATTTTCACTGATAAGCTTGTATTGCAAACTGACATGTCTCATTCATTTCTCCTCTCATTTTTATTTACCCAACAGATGACAGACTTCTCGGATAGTTCGCCCAGTGGGGTGTTGAGTCCAGCCTCCTCGCTGATCGAGAATTTCCACAAGAAGAACGGCTCACCGCAACCACTCGGTAGCAGCAGCACCACCACCACAGTCACCCCCACGACCTTGAATGGATCTGCAGTGGGTGGGGTGGGCGGTGTGGTGGCCAGCACCGCGAATGGCAGGCAAATTAACACCAGCTCTAGTTCATGCAGTAGTCTTAAGGAAACCTCACACCAGTCCACGTCCACATCACAACAGGTAAGCATTGATTATAATTAATAGTAGTATAAATAATAAATTGCCAAAAGATATCGTTTAAGTTCAGAGAAAGCATTTCCCATTGTGACAATTTTAATAGATCCAGAGTGTTGAGTGTAGAAAGTTTATTTTTCTTCATAGGACCATTGGTTCTGTTGTAGTATCTATAGTGATTCAAACATTTAAAATCTTCGCTGAAGATTTTGTTCAGTTTTAAGTGTACCACGAATTACCTCCACTCAAGTGCTCGATTAAAGAAAATAGAATCTGACGCAGCAGTGGTCATCAGTTCAGATATCGTAACTGAACGTATGGAATCAAGCAGAGTTGGCATAATGTCGCTATTTTTAACGAATTACTTAAGGAACCCCTAATCGTTGAAACCTTTCGGTGGTACTGCTCCACCGATAAGCCTAGAGGTTAACATTTGATAACCGATTGTATTGAATATACAGGCACAATTTATGCCCTTCTATTGAGACCCCTCCTCCCTGATAAGATTACCCTTTGGCATTCCATTGTCACACTGGCGACGTTGCGGCTGCTGTACACGAGTAAAGTCGGTTTTATTAATCACATATTTATTATTGGCCCGGCTTGATTGAGTTGTAGCTACATAAATAAACACTCGAATAATTATTGAACAATTTAGAAAAGGGGAGAAGACAAAAGGCAAGCCAAAACGTGCCGTACAAATGTTTAACCGTTTTTAATGACCTGTTAACAAGTTTTTATGCTTTTTTTATGATTTAAATAGATTAGATACGAATTGGGTTTTCTCTAGAATTTGCATAGCCAGCACACGTTTTTATCTAAGAATTTTCACCGCTTTTATTTTGATAAGGAAGTTGCCATTTATATAGTTTATCAACGGTTTGCAGTTTTCGTCTGCTAAAAATAGATACTGACCCATATGAATTTAATTTTGGAAAAACCATCCATCAAAACTCTTAAATGTTCACATTCAGTACCTATCTTTCTATCTTGATCTACTTCTTATCGAACTAGCCATAAAAATAGTTTTGACCTGAAATCAATTTTGATAGTCAAGTCTTTTTCTGCTGACCATTCATATGTCGAAAATAGCTAATGACCTGATCAAGCTTGATTTAATTTACTAAATTAGAACTTGACAGTTTATAAGGTAGACAGTAAAATTAATTTGCTTTTGTAAAAAGTTTATGACACATTTTGCCGACTAGTTAAGCGCTGCAATGACTGACGCAAATGTTTGAACATCTCCCTTGCACAACCAAATGAGAAAGATTGCAGATTTCAGGCATTTGAATTTTTAAATACCCTGTACTTTGAAGTATAATTTTAAAATAAAATGTTTGCTCTGTATTGATTAGGCAATTTTGTATTTCCGTACACTTATTGTATCCTCTATTGCTGCTAAGAAGTATGCTATAACTTTTAAATAGTGAGAGACTAATTGGAAAAGTTACAGAGGAAGGAAAACTAATAAAAGAAGACAACTTTGGTATAATCTTGAAAACAATAAATACAAAAGTTTTTACCGGTTATTTTATTAAAAACTTAAAAAAAAATTTAAAATTTTCAAGAAATAATCTCTTATTATAATCGTTTCAGAATACATAAGTTAAAATAAACTATATACAAAAATTATTATGGCTCATTAAGTTAAATCCAAAAATAAATATACTTCTTACGAACACAGGGTATTTAAGTAAAAACACATTCTCTACAGTCTTTTTTTTTGGTGTCTCTTATTGAGTCGCTTTAAATTGAGGCTGAGTCACTTGCCGGCAGCCGGCACACTTCGCCGCCATCGAATTCTACGTCAGCAGAGCAGAGTGCCTCCGATTCCGTCCGGTTCCATCTGCCCCCGCAATCCACACATCTTCTCATGAATCGTGCTGAAATCGCTTCTCTCAGTTTTGATTGTGTGATATACTCGTTATCTGTTTACATCCTGGTTGTGATTGAGATTGTGTGTTTGTGGTCCAAGTTCAACAAGCATCACCATTCTGATTTCAACGCACATAGGGGTTTATAAGGAACCAGATTCTCTCTGTGCCAAATTCATTCATGTTCAATAGAATAAAACACAAATTGACCATTGCTTCGGCGAATTGGTTTTTGCGCCAGTCATGACAATTTAAGTTTTCCGATGAAAAAGCTTTATTTTAGGTGGTTAGCAAGCCAATTTTGCGATATGATTTCCTTTTCGCAGAAATTGTTGAGGTAAACCGAACAAATTGAATATCATGACGCGGGATAAGATATTATAATGTTGTGATAAAGATATAAGATCTATAATAAACTTGAAGGGGTTTTAAATATGGCTGCCCGAAAGTAGATAAATTAATCAAAAACTAACTAACTTATAATTAAAGAAAATCAGAGCACTGTGCATAATAATACTTAATAGTAATATTATAATGAAATATTAATGTTTATGAAAGATTAAAATAATGAAAATCCAGATATAAAGCATTATAACCAGTCTCCATAAAGATGCTTAAATACATTTAAACCGTATTTAATTCTATTAGACAAGCTTAACAGGCTCAATAATAATTAACAAATATCATAAAGGCTAAACAAATTTGCTGAATAATTATGCATAGATTAACACCCAATTATTCAAATACTCAATGAAAACAAAACAAAGCTCTTTAGCACTCGCTCTCAGCAAAAAAGTCCCGTGGTAATCAGAAAAGTAAACATCAAAAAATGAGCAGAACGAGATACAATCTTCAAACAGCTTGAATCAGAAAATCTGAAAAAAAACGAACTGCAAATCGACCGCAAGTTGAGAACTCGTTAATTAGAGAAGCTGAAGCTTGAAAAGCTTAGACAGAAACGTGAACCGAGCCCAACTTAGCAGCTGAATTATGGAAATGCAAATTATTCACGGCATAAATTAAAGATTAAGCGAAGGGAAACACGGCGAAAATAAACACATAAAAGCTGAGGGAGAGCCAGAGCCGCCCAGACTTGTATTTACAATTTGATTTCCTAGAATTCCTCTGCCTGCAAAACACATATGCTGAAAGCTATCACCTCCATGTGTTGCCATTTAGCTACTCGATTCTGTCTCTTTTTTCACTATCTCACTATCTCCCTTCTTACACAGAAAACACTTATTATTTGTTTTTTACAAAAAATGGAATACCGAAATTAAGCAATCCAAGCCCAAATCGCAGGGCTGAGATCGTTTTTGTTTTAGAATTGTAAATACTTTGAGAGCAGTGAATGACAAAATAATACCCTACTTCTGACTTACTACTTATCATTCATCATGAAACTTTTTTTTTATAAGAAATTCTTATTTAGTAAAGGTTTTCTCTCAGTGCTGCTTGTCGATCGCACTTTAAAATGACGCCGGCAGCGACGCGACAGAACTAAAAGCTCTCAAGCTCCCACGCTGCCTGTGAAGCTAGAAATTTCGTGCTCGGCGCTCATTTTTATTTTAGTTAACGAAACGAACGAACCAGCGACGCGCTAAGAAATTCAAGAAATACTATAGCAAAAACACTCAGCCGAGGCGGAAATAATTTGGCTGTAGTTCTTTTTTGCTAGCGTGTGCGCTTTCAAAAAAAAAAAATAATAATAATAATACAAATCACCTTTATAATAATAATTTGGTCCTCAACGAGTACCGAAACGAAATCAATGAGCAAAGAATCGTGGGTTTTTTGCCCATTAACGAACAATTAAACGAACTCTCTTTGTTATCAGTATTGCACAAATAAATAAAAACCAACCACACAACGAACAACGAAAGTAGTAAAGAGAATACCAACGAAAAGTGAAAAAGTCAGTGAGTGAACAAAAGTAAAAGTCCTGCAAATAGAAAATTGTGGAGGGCAGAAAGTAAAATCTATATGAAAATATATGTATTTTCAAACGTCGTGTTTGTCTGTGTCTGATAAGCCCCTCATCCCAAGCTGATTATTTAGCTATATAAACGCTAGCGTACGTTTATATGTGCCCGAGTTAAGTGCTTTATCAAAACGGAGGCGTATACGTAATATGAAATTCAATTGAAATTAGCGGAGTTTACCAAGAAGTTTCCATAACCGAGCTGAAACAGGAGATTCAAAAAGGTTAGTCAAACCGATTCCTGCGTGCAAAACATCATTGTGGTAATTTAGTAAATGACGCAGAAATCGAGGAAAAAAGAAACACAAGTGATATCTAATCTTTTGATTTCATGTCCAAGACAAACTCCTTCACCCTCCGCACTTGTAAGGGAAATATTTATTGATCAGGGGCACTTGAAAGTGTTACCTTACCGATAAGTTTGTGTCAGCCGGAAAGAGAGCGACGGGGTGCGAATTGTTTGCTACTCGCTTTGGCCAACATGTCGTATGCGTAACGTCCATTCAAATCGCTCTCGATTTATGTGTGTGCACATGTTTTATTGCCCAACCAAAAAGAACGCCATATAAAACCGATCGCAACCCACTCACATTTATATATCAATGTTAAACTGCTCAACTGCTCAACTTGTTTGACTTTTGGGGCTTCTTCTTCGCTTTTTTTTTTTCTAGATGGCAGACGCCAGAAACCTGGCCAAAATTAGATTTGATTCGTAATACGCGAACATTTGTCAAATCTCTTCGAGCTGCGGCTCGTCAGCAGACAAAACCATAAATAGAAAATTGTCTTCCTTGGGTTTTTCCTAGAAAGTTATGAGGTGTCAGAGCTTTGAATAAAATCTATAGATATTATAAAATAATAATGCTTATTTAAAATAAATGTTACTTACCTAATTAAAGCTAGATGAGAGCATCGTCAAGTTTACTGACCTAGGGTCAATGGCTTTGTCTAAACGCTTGTAAAACTGATCAATGAATATATGCTTAGTAAGCCGTTTTCAAGGCAAATCCCTAATCAAATAGAATAAGTTCCCGTGCCATAAAGCGTTTGGCAAGTTATCGAAATTGAGGAATTTAGATAGAGACCCATCCATCTATTATTTCGGGGTAAGCTCCATGAAAGGCAAATATTATATAGCGCCCAAAACAAATGTCGATCCCAAAACAAATGGCTCATTTGATTTATAAAGACCAAGTTAAGCGCCCGGGGGCCATAAAATGCGAGTACTGATAGCGCCAGACAGTAAAGCATACTCATACGAATATATATATATATATATATACGAATATCTATATAATATTTGCACAGAGCTAAGGGGAAAATATATCTCTGTACGACACACATTCCGCACATTTTTCCGCCTATGAGTCTCTGGCAGAAAATAACCCGACTTTCTATAATTGTGCCCGTCTGTTGTTTATTTATCAGGTTGTCAACAGCAGCAGCAGCAGCACGACGACGCGGGTGGAGAAGAAGTCCCAGCGCCTGCACCACCACATCACCTCCTCATCCTCCAGCTCCTCAACCACCCAGGCTCTGTCCACCTCATCCGAGATGAAGGCGGCGGAAATCAAGCGAGATCTCACAAACATCCAGAAGTCCATGTCGGAAATCAACGATCTGGCCAAGGAGCGGATCACCGGTGGACCTGGTTCCATTAGCACCACCTCAGCCTCTGCGATCACAGCGCCCAGCACAATGTCACATGCGACGTCGACGAGGCTGGCACCCAAACTCACATCGGCCCATCCGTCGATCGACGATCTCAGGGGTCTCAGTAGCCAGGACAAGATCACCCAGCTGCAAAAGAAGTGAGTGATTGCTCAGTTGTCGCTAGGCAATAGAAATTTTCCACAATTTAATATTGACAAGTCGAATAAACCATTGTTCCGCTCATTAGCAATCTTCTAGATAGTGACACATAAAGTAGAAATTCCCATGGTCAACTTACAAAAGCTAATTAATTGTATTTAATATAAATAACTATATATATAACCCTACGGTTTGTGTATAACTAGAGATTTAATTATCATCATATTTGAATAACACAATTTCTTTTGTGGGTCACCGCAAAACTACTAAGAATTTTAAACTTGTTTTTGCAACGATGTGGTTTTTTTGCTCAATTTTAAAGTAAATTAATTCAAAGAAAATAAATGTGTAATATGTAATGCATTTAATTCTTGGGAATTTGAGAAAAACTGTTTGAATATGACAAAAGCTAATCAATTATATTTAATGTAAACAACTACACAAAAGAAACATTACGATTTCTGTCTAACTAGAGATTTAATTATCATCATATTTGATTAACACAATTTCTTTTGTGGGTCACTCTCATTTCTTACTGATTTCTAGGCGTTACGCCGCAAAATTACTAAGAATTTTAAACTTGTTTTTACAACGATATGGGTTTTTTTGTATTCAATTTTATGTTTAATTATTTCAATGAAAATACCAGTGATATGGTATGCACTTAATTGTTAAGAAATTAAATCAATTATTTTAATATCTCTATATAGCTGAAATCTAACTTGTTCTAAGCACTCTAGAGGAATGTACCTTTTGCTGAATCCTAATTACTAAAGGCATTCCAATGGGGATGGCAAATATAGCAATCAGGCGCTAATTAAATCTACTAAATTTTTTTTTTCAGAATTCGGGCCTCGCTTGAGAATCTGGTGGACGACGATGACAGCAATGTGATCGTGACCCTGCCGGATGACGACGACTGCCCGCATAGCTTTGGCAGCCTCAGCCACCCCACCGCCGCCCAGCTGAGTGCCAATGGGTTGAGCGGGTCGAGCAAAACAATCGATACGATCAAGTTCCAGGAGAAGAGCATGAAGACCGAGTCCAAGACGAAGGTGGTCACCGATGGCTTCAGTTCCGAACAGGCCACCAGCAACTCGGCGGAGATGAAGCGCCTCCAAACCGGAGACATAGACTATCAGGAGAGCAAGGGTGCGTCGGCGATGAGGAATCGATTGGAGATGGACGGTGTCAAAACAGAGGAGAATGCAGCCGTTATTAAGGTGAGTCCGATTTAAGATACTTCCTTACTTCAATGATCCAAACCAAAAGGGTCTGACAATCCAACTGTCAAACTGAGAGAAAAGTTGCTTGCTTTAAGAAATTTAAAGTCAGCCCGAGGAGATTTTAATTTAGAAGCTTTTATTTCAATAACATGATGCAAAAATAAGTACATATTGGAAAACTATTCTTTTGAGTCACCCTTAAGTGAAAGATATTGAAGATGATTAGTAACAAACTGATTTTAAAATATAAAATGATTTAGATTGTTATTATAGTCGTATGTTTTAACCATTCTAAATCTATGTTGTCTGCCTTAGAATCAATCCAGAAATCAGAGTTAATAACCTGCCAGAAGTAGCCATTGAACTCGCCCCTGAAATGTGTCCCCCAAACAAGAGCTTTCGCTGTGAGCTTTTTAGCAAACGAAGAAAGGGAGTTACTGCCATTAAAGGGTGGTTACCCCATTTGGAAGCTTTCGCTAACTGTTAGACCATGGCACTCCTTTCAGTTGGGAGTTCATCGCGTGCATGTTAAGGTCGCATAAGGGACACCAGCGCCAAGGCGTTAATATCCCAGCCGTTGGTGAAAACTGTCCAAAAGTGAAAGTTGACAAGTCGACAACAACTTACTCGGTTACTCATAAGACAAAGAAAATCGATTGTCTGGCGCCGAAAAGCGGGCAACACTCGACGCGAAAGTAATGTGAAATGCTTCTTAACAAGTGCCTGCTCCTTGGGAGCCCGAAATTTATCCGTAACTATTGCAAATCGAAGAAGCCGGAGAAACCAACCGGAATGTTCAGAAAATTTCAGGTACAAATTACCCCAGAGAGATTTTATACTGTTTGTAGTTTTTGCCATTACACCTGTTACCCAGGGTTACCTGGAATTGGTGATACAGGGGAAAAACAAAGTTCCAACAGCGAATTTAATCTAATCAGTTAGTAGGCGCCCAACTTACATCATTGTTGATTTGCCTACGTATATTATATTTAATTGCTTTATGATGGGATGGTGATATTCCTGGTAGGTGCCTATATACCAAAGTGTCAAGGATGGCTGTTTGTTTTTTTGGAACATGGAGAAAAGGTCAACTCGAAAACTTAATGAACATAACTTGAATTCATTACTCAGATAAAAAAAAACAAAAACTAAATAGAAAACTTAGAGTAACCATTTTAAATTTATTAACAAGTATATAGAGTTCAACAGACCGTCATTCAGAATGTATAACACTTGCGAAACTGTTATACTCGTCCATCTGTAAATCTACTTTTAAAAAAAAAAAAACTCTCCATCAACACATCGTCCATCAAAGACAGAGCCCCCTTATTAAGTATATACCCATTCAATCCATCGCACAGATATTAAAAATCTCTCAGGAGGACATCAATTTGAATGGGTGCTTTTGCTTGGCCATCCGCCAAAATATTAGGCAAACATTTAGACAGCCACGCTCCATGTGCAGCAAACAAGTGCTTGAGTTTTAAACATTAACAAAAAATCCAATGAAAATACTTTTATACGATTTTTATGGATTTGCGAACAATTCAAATAGTCTTAGGACATTTGCGTCAATTGGAAGGAACTCATGGAACGGCACGCACCATCTCAAATAATTTCGGAGAAGTAAACGGAGAATCGAATACCATTTATACACCCCCATCCCCTTCCCTATTTTTGATTTATTTCCCACGAGTTAACGCTCCGAATTTTTGTATGTTCTATGGCAAAAACAAAATTGCTGTGCTCTCTTTGTTTTATTTTCGAAATTATTTTGAATAAAACGGCTCAGAGCGATACGCGGACCTCAGTAGCAGACAGTCGAGCGTCGCGAGCGTTTCAGCAAATCGAATTATATGTAGTTGAATTATACAATAAAACGAAACTGTATAATCATTTGCCTATATAAGAAACTGATGTGTGACTGTGGCTAGATAGTACTAAATACAAAATACAAAAAGCGCAGGTGACAAAGACTTCCTAATTAAAACACAAAATAAGCGTTCAGCGATTTTGTTTACCAGTGAAAATATTGTCGCAGGTGTAACAGCTGTACAAAAAATGTTCAACAAACCGACCTTCAAATTTTAAAAAATTTCACAGACTGAATACGTTTCAAGTAAAAAAGTGGTGTTATTTCTATATTTTAACTTTGAATAAAAAGTCATTTAGTAAAGTAAAGTTTTGAAAGATAATTGAAAACATAAGAAATAAAATGAATTGCTGATGAAATCAGCGTGAAAACTTAACGAAATATCTTTCAAAAACGGAAAACCAAAAACCTAACGACAGATGGCCTACCGCTTTCGACGCTATGTGAGCTTTTACCAATTCCTTCGTTAAGTTTTCCCCATTTCCATATGCAAATGTGGCTCAACAAGTGTCTGATTCGGTCATTTCATGCTTTGCAATGTGTATAGAATCATCATTTTGTACAGTGAAGCTGTGTCAAGTGCCTTGTTAATTGCCATTTAACTGTAAAATTATTACAAGTTCTATTTGTCGGTCAGTGTCACACACAGATACAAAGAAAAACACCCAAATACACTGAAACAAAAAGCAAAAAGCAAATAAAACACACACACACACACAGAGAAAGTGACGGTGACGGCGACGTCGACGTAGCCAATTTGTGCGCTATTTTTATGTGAATGAAAATAAATAAAATACAAAGTATATAGGACGGAAAAAAATACGCAAACGAAATACATCAGCATTCGTATACGTATTATACGGAACGAAATAATCAGCAACTACAGCAGCGACTTTGGCATTGAAATACCTGCCACCTCTTCAGTTGAGAAGTTGAGAAATTGAGAAGTTGAGAAATTGAGAAATGTCCAATCAGGCGCCTTGGCCCGTTCGCAAGGGCATCTTCCGCTCGAGCGGCCAGTCGGACTTCACGCCCACCCGTTCGCCCAGTCCCATTGTGGAGATGCCACTATCACCACCGCCAGTTGCCACGCCCTCCAATCGTTTTGGGCTCACTTCACCGCTCTCCCCACCGCCACAACCCATTCAAGTGGTGGCGGGCTCAACGGCAGCCACAACCATGTCCACTGCGTCCGCTGCCAGAATGTCTGGAGCAACTGCCTCCACTTCGGCCACTTCTTCTTCATCGGCATCCGCATCCGCATCCGCCTCCGCCTCCTCTTCGTCGTCGTCGCAATCCTCTTCGAGTTCTAGTTCGCATACCAGAGTACGTAAAAGTTCTAACCCGCCCCCACAGCCAATTAGCAATTGTCCACTGTCGCCACCACCGCCTCCATCACAACCGCCACAACAACAGCCACCAACAACGGCCAACAACACCAACCACTCAACGATTACAACACCCAATCACAACAATAACCACAACTGCAATCAAATGAAAAATGTACGCGAAATTCCCATTGAGGTGGAGCAGAGCAAGGTATAACAGGGAGAAGAGGGCGTGTTTGTTGTGACTTAGTCTAGATTTAGTGGTCTAGTGAGGTTATGAGATGATAAAAGGTATAAATAAAGTATAACAGTTACGAAACTGTTGCAAGCGGGGTTCTTAAATCTTAACAGTTTCTTTAAAATAACTGTTATACTGTACGTAGCCACCATAAGCATGTAGTTTGCTCCTAATAATAATTATACCACCAAGGCAACTTAAATATATAATTTATTATGGTTAAAATAATCAACAAAAGTTGCACATAGGCTTATCACTTTTTGTTCTACATTCATATGACCAAATTAAAACATAAATTCTGTGTTAAAGCGTTTGTATAACAGTCTGTCAAATCTGTAATTTTTGTACATTTGCATCATGTTATTAAGTATTTGTTTGATTTATTTCTTGTTTTTAAATTACCCAACATGTAATTTATTCTTACTAATGGCTTCACCTTCTTCCCGCATTATCCCACAACGAAATATCCAGGAAGCACTATCGCTGCGCACCGGCGACATCACACAGCAGGCGAGCAACAATGTGGCCGCCTCCAGTATTACTGTGCAGAGTGAGAACTTCTCTGCGGACAAGAAGGCGATCTCGCAGTCGCAGCAGTCGCAGACGATGACCTCCAACGGGATCATTAGCCAGGAGAAGCACGTGTCCTCCGCCTCGCAGGCCAACTACTCAATGTCGCATAAGGGCGTCTCCAGCACCGGCAGCAGCATGATCACCAGCTCCTCAGCTCAAATGTCTGCGATGAACGGCCAGATGCTGAAGCTCACTGATCTCAAGTTGGATGACCTCAAGTCCCTAACGGCGGGCAGTGGGCAGCAGGAGATCGAGCAGACCATCAACAAGTATTCCAACATGCTGACCTCAATAGTGAGCTCCCTGCAGGAAGACGAGCGAGGGGGCAGTGCCATAACCGCCCACGATGTTGGTGGCAAGAAGTCGCAGTACCTGGAGAAGATCAACGAAGTGATCCGAAGAGCTTGGGCAGTGCCCACCCATGGCCACGAGCTGGGCTACTCGTTGTGCAACTCCCTGCGCCAAAGTGGCGGTCTCGATCTTCTCATGAAGAACTGCGTCAAGCCCGACCTCCAGTTCTCCTCCGCCCAGCTGCTCGAGCAGTGTCTGACCACCGAGAACCGGAAGCATGTGGTGGACAATGGCCTGGACAAGGTGGTGAATGTGGCCTGTGTCTGCACCAAGAACTCCAATATGGAGCACTCCCGCGTGGGCACTGGCATTCTGGAGCATCTGTTCAAGCACTCGGAGGGCACCTGCTCGGATGTGATAAGGCTGGGCGGCCTGGATGCCGTGCTCTTCGAATGTCGCACCAGCGACTTGGAGACATTGCGACACTGTGCCAGCGCCCTGGCGAATCTATCGCTCTACGGCGGAGCCGAGAATCAGGAGGAGATGATACTGCGCAAGGTGCCCATGTGGCTGTTCCCCTTGGCCTTCCACAACGATGACAATATCAAGTACTATGCGTGTCTGGCCATTGCTGTGCTGGTGGCCAACAAGGAGATTGAGGCCGAGGTGCTGAAGTCTGGCTGTCTGGACCTCGTCGAACCCTTTGTCACCTCCCACGACCCGTCGGCCTTTGCCAGATCCAATCTGGCACATGCCCATGGGCAGAGCAAACATTGGCTGAAGCGATTGGTACCCGTACTGAGTTCCAATCGCGAGGAGGCCCGCAATCTGGCCGCCTTTCACTTCTGCATGGAGGCGGGCATCAAGAGGGAGCAGGGCAACACCGACATCTTCCGGGAGATCAACGCCATCGAAGCACTGAAAACGGTGGCCAGTTGCCCGAATGCCATTGCCTCCAAGTTCGCCGCCCAGGCGTTGAGATTAATCGGAGAGACGGTGCCGCACAAGCTGTCGCAGCAGGTGCCGCTGTGGTCCGTTGAGGATGTGCAGGAGTGGGTGAAGCAGATCGGCTTCAATGACTACATGGACAAGTTCAACGAGTCCCAGGTGGACGGTGATCTGCTGCTGAAGCTCAACCAGGATAACCTGCGCGCCGACATTGGGATCGGCAATGGAATTCTGCTGAAGCGTTTCGAACGCGAGCTGCAAAATCTCAAACGCATGGCCGACTACTCGTCCAAGGACACGGCCAAGATGCACCAGTTTCTGTCGGAGATCGGCACTGATTACTGCACCTATACGTACGCCATGCTGAATGCTGGCATCGATAAATGTGCCTTGCCGCATGTCAATGAGGACATGCTGATGACGGAGTGTGGCATCCACAATTCGATTCATCGATTGCGCATTCTCAATGCGGTCAAGAACCTGGAGAACTCACTGCCCAGTTCGTCGGAGGAGAACATGGCCAAGACACTGGACGTTTTTGTAAGCTACAGGCGTTCCAATGGCTCCCAGCTGGCCAGTCTGCTCAAGGTGCGTATACTTGATGGCTGTTTAATGGTGGGAAAACATGCACTCACAAGGCACCGTCTTCTATAGGTTCACCTGCAGCTGCGAGGCTTCTCCGTGTTCATCGACGTGGAACGCCTGGAGGCGGGCAAATTCGACAACGGCCTCCTGAACAGTATTCGGCAGGCAAAGAACTTTGTCTTAGTATTAACGCCCGATGCCCTGCATCGTTGCATCAACGACGAGGACTGCAAGGACTGGGTGCATCGCGTGAGTATCTCTATCTAAAGGGGGAGAACCCCCTTGTCGGCCAAGAGGTGTACTCATCATGGGGCTCTCTCTCTGATCTGCAGGAAATTGTGGCTGCCTTGAACTCGAACTGCAACATCATACCGATCATGGACCAGCACTTCGATTGGCCGGAGGTGGAGCGACTGCCGGAGGACATGCGCAGTGTGGCGCACTTCAACGGGGTCAGTTGGATACACGACTACCAGGACGCGTGCATCGATAAGCTCGAAAGGTACATTAAGCGACGCATTTAGACCTGGATTAGCCTGGGACTAGGACGATGGATAACTCCATTACCGAATTACGATAAGCCTCCGAATAATCTTAAAACTTAAACGATTCCCATTCTTCTGATGCGGCAGATTTTTGCGCGGCGAAAAGAATATCGATCGCATTGCGGCGATGGTGCCCGGCACCCCCGGTTCGGTCTCATACCAAAGAATGCACAGCAACGACTCCGATTACCAGAGCGGAGGAGCAGGCGGAGGATCGGGACCAGCAGGCACTGCTGGAGGAGGCGGATGTGTTGGCGGTGGCGGTGGCGCAGGCAGTGTGGTGGATGGCCTAATGGCGACGGCCAATGGCAGCGGACAAGGTGGGCCAACGAGTACTACAACTACTACTTCTTCTACTCCCAACTCCAACTCCAACTCAAGCTCTTGCTTGCAGAGTCCCCCAGCGGCTCCAGCGTAGAGTGAGCCCAGTTAAGCTAAAGATTTATAGAGCTAGCCAACTCGAATATGTTCTAAACTTAAGCAGAGATCCTCAAGTCACACTCTCTAGTACAACTCCCCTATCTCTCTCTCTCTCTCTCTATCTACCCCATACACTCACCTTCTTACTCACACAATCACCCACCCACCAACCAACAAGCCAACCAACCCATTACTACTCCACTACTCATTACTCTATACTCTTACCAATTAATAATTGATTTAATTCTGATTGCCACACACTCGAAATCGCTTGAAACGCCGTCTCGCGCGCAGCTAATCACCAGGCAAATAGGTACCGCCAATCCCCCTCGCCGGCCCGCCAAAGGGGCAGCACCTCGCAGCTGAGTGGCTATTCGCGGGCGCCCTCGAAGCGCTCCCAGATCCTGACACCCTACCGCACCCAGCAGGCGGCCCTGCTCCACAAGTCCGGAGCGGCCTCTGCGTCCATGCAGAATATGACGCCGCTGGCGTATCTGCCGCCCAGGAGAAGTTCAGCCGCGGGATTGGGTCATGGGTCTGGTGCCGGCATGGGCAGTGGCTATCGATCGCACAGCGTGGATGGGCTACTGGATCAGGCAGGCTCAACGCCTGACCAGAGGATAGCGGCAGCAGCGGCCAAGGTGACAGCGGGCAGTACAGCTCTGACGAATGCCAGCTCCACGAGCACACTGCAACCTGAGGAAGAGGAGGCGGAAGTTGCCCTCAGTGAAACGGTGACGCGGCGGGACAAACACACCCTGTCTCCGCCTGCGAATGTCCAGCAGCACCGGAAGTCCCGAAGTCTGGACCACATCCTCAGCAAACAGACCCTAGCAGAATTGCTGCCACCGAGTATCGAACTCACAGATGAAACGCAGAGCATGCAAAATCTGGCCATTCCAATGACTCCGCAGCCCCAACGAAGGGAGACCAGCTCCTCCTCAAAGTCGCCCACACCCGAAAGACCCCCACAGCCTGCGAGGGAAAGGGTTAGGGAACGCCAGAGTCCCGAGGGTGTGAGTGCGACGGAAAGCGAGCGTGAGGATCAGCCGGATGGGTGTCTGCGCCATGGAAACCAACAAAGAGCCTCGGCCTCGGTTCATCGCGGAGCCAGTTTGACCAGCAACAAGACTTCCAACTCATCGCTGGGCTCCAACTACAGTGCCGGGGGAAACAACAAGACGATCTTTAATCGAACAATGAAGAAGGTCCGCTCGCTGATGAAAAAGTAAGCCATAACGAGAAGGCGAAGGGACGAGGAGAACGAGGACTCGCTGTCCCCACTCGTCGCTCGCTGTCTGCTCCATATCAATTTTAGCCAGTTTTTCGCGAACTGATTTCAAAGCTTGTTAGTTACATATATTTCCATACAGACCTTTAGTTGGTTAAGCTTAAATAATTCTTATTTTATCTTGTTTAACAAAGTTTGAAGTAATATTGTGATAAAACAATATAAATATTACTTCTATAGTCCATAAAGATATCTCTTATAAGATCTCGCTCTTTAACGAGAAATCAGTTCGCGAAAATGTGGCTTGCGTTACGTGCCAATCGCCCACTAAGTGCCTGTTAACCCGTTAATTGCCGCTCGCTGCATTTGTGACATCTAAAAAGAATCTCACCCGATCACTCACTCATCCACCCTTAGACCCCTGGGACCCCTAAAAAGCCTTCTCTATATCCATTCGCTGCCTTTCTACTTCTCTTCTCTGGTGTTGGTACTCGCCCGCTATTTTTACTCGCCACTCGTTGACTCAACTCGTTACGCAAAGCATCCACTAAAAATCGCCTGCGTTGCCCAAATTTGAAAAAGTATATACAAACGCACCTCCCTTTACTTTACCACTGTTTCTCTTTAAACTCTATTTGCCTTGTGATTAGTTGTTGATTTTGATAATTAATTTTTTTTGAAAAATGAGTAAGCGAATTTAAACGGCAAAAACTAATTTATGAAAAGAAAAAACACAATTAACGACTGCATAATACGAAACCTTATTTATAGAACCATAAAACAAAATCAACTAATTTTAAACACTACAAGAAACAAAAAATACATTGGAAAACGAAAACAAAACAAACACCCTATATTTAAATGCTATTTATAAATAATATGTTTAAAATTTGTACATTTTTCGCGTATGCAATTTGTTCTTGTAACCGTCCGCAAACGTAATTTAGAAATTGCAAGTTTAAAATTAACCCATGTGGCTTGAAACGAAAATATTTAAGTGATATTTAAACTACGTATAATCGAAATTTAATTAATTCAAAATTTTTACAACAAAACATGCTGTACAAACCTATTTTTTAGCGCAGGAGTTTATAAGGCATATTTTAATTGATTTTTGCAATATATATTTAATATTTAAATAGTGCCTAAAGTTGAAAACAAACCCGAAAAAACGAAAAAGGAAAACAACATAAATAAAATGTGACTTAATTAAAACGAAATGTGTATTATTGACCCTATTGTAGCCCTTTATCCTGCTTTATCAGTCCATACTATATCATCATTCGCATGTCTACATCCCGATTTGTTACGTTTTTTGTTATGTTCTTTTGCCATCAGTATTTAAATTTCTGTTTGTGCCGTTAATGGAATTCGATTTGTTTTATTTGTATATATATAATCACTTTCTTTTCTTCCCTCTCTCTTATCTTTCTCCATACCTGCTGGACTTTTTGTAGACCATAAAAGCGAAATTGGCTACCGCAATCCGTTGTAACTGTTGTTATCGTTGTGCCTGTTGTACTGCATCCAACCCACAAAAGCACCCACCCTCCAAATCGAATCGAATTCGAAAAACCCATCATCGCACCCGTGATCAATACCGATGCCCACTCAGCATCCGCTGTCTCGACAATCAACATTCATTGTTATTTATTGCAAAACAACCAAGAAAAAATAAACAAACAAAAACGAATTGCGATACCAATAAAATTGTATATAATTGCATAAATCGAAAGAGTCCTGTCAAACATTTATTTAATTTGTATTTCCCCCACAACTCCTCCCATTCGAAACAGCAATGAACTCGAGGACGAAGAACTGTCGAACATTATTCTGTCCAAGGCCACCTCACCCAATGCGGGGCGCATGATATTTTGGTAGAGGATCGCCAAACTCAACCCCACAAACTGATCGAATTTTTGTACATATTTAAATAATAACGAATCGAAAAACAAAATAAAAACGAACGAATTGAGAAACTTCATAATTTTGAAAACTTATTATTTTTCTCTTTACAACAAATTTTTGTTTTTAAGCAAAAAGTGTTCTTTAATTATATTACAACACAATAAGAACTGGCGAATTGATGATTAACTCAAAAATAAATTTTTAAGTTCCCTTTACAAAAAATTGTTCTTTTCAAAACAAAAAGTGTTATTCAATTATAATTATTTTGTAAAGAAAAAAAAATGTTTTGAAGAAAAAAAAGTAAGTTTAAGGTATCACTTAAAGGGAAACCACTCTAAAAAGCGTTATACATTCTACAACGCTATTTCCAAGTCCAGATGTGCAAAGAAAAAATAAAAAAAAAAAACATTTTTTATAGAAATTTTTTTCTAAATAGAAAGCGAATGCGAGCAGGACTCAAGCTAAGAGCTTTAAAATAAAAAAGTGAGACCACGCTTACAAAAGAGTCAAACCTTTGTGTCATCGAACCAATCGGGCACTTTAAACTCAACCCTGAAAAGTAATGTGTCAAAGTAGTCGATTATTTCTGTTCAGTTTTGTGGCTCTATCGAAACACGTGCGACCTACATTTTTGTTTTAATTTTTCGCAACGTATTTAAAAGGGTAGAAAGATTTTATGATGAACGACACGAAGGAGAGCAAGTTGTCCCTAGAGCCCTGCAACGGGATCGTCTTTGAGGGACCGTTCAACCGCTCCGTGAGCAGGAAGCTTGTCATCGGGAATCCGAGCGGTTCGCAGAGGGTTGCCTTCAAGATGAAGACCACCACCCCGAAACTGTTCTTTGTACGTCCCAACATCGGAGTTTTGGAACCTGGTCAGAAGGTCAACGTGGACATCTTCATGCAGCCGATTCTCCAGGAACCGCCACAAAAGCGCCACAAATTTCTCCTGTTGGCGGCCGAAGCAACTGATGACATGAGCGACCTGCCGCAATTCTGGAGGCTGCAAACGCCGGAAAGCATCTGGGAGACCAAGATCCGGTGTGATCTGATCCCGTTCAAGGAGGAGCAGTATCGTCAGGCGGGCGGAGGAAGAGCCCCATCCGCTTTGGACACCAAGGGAGGCGAGGACACCTTCGATGTCCAGGAAGTCAGCGATCCGATGGCCAAGTTGCTCAAGCAGGTCAGCATGCTGGAGGACGAGCGCTTAGTTCTTAAGGAGGAGCTCGACATCTTGCGCGACCAGACGATCGGATCAAACCATTCTGGACAGGGGATGATGAATCGTTCGCGCCAAGGACGCAGCACTTTCATCTACGTGGCCGCCTTCATACTTACCATCTTGGCCGCCATCGGAGGCGCCTTTTATGGCAAGAACTATTTGTGAAACACTCATCCACGCACGGCATGCTTAGAACCAAGCCAAATTATACGAAAATTTGTTGTCAATTAAAACAAATAACGATTTAGGTCTTTTCGATTGGCCCTCTATGTCTCAAATCTGTTTTTTTTTTCCATCTTGGTTGATTGATTCTTATCTTAGCTTAATATACTCTTATTGGTTAGTCTTACTTCTAAAAGTAACGCTCTTTAAATATAAGTTTTACTTGTACACACAAAATGTTCAAAAAGATTATAGTTTTCTTTTTTAAGTATTAAATATTTGCTTAATATAAGGTCCACAACATTTCAACAAAGAACTGTTTAATTTTATTTTCTATATAGCCAAAAGTTAAGTTAGAAAACATAAAATATAAGCTTTCAGTTTTTATTTATGGTAAAACAACGTATTTTTACAATATGCTAAGTTTAAATTCTGATTATATAAAACAAACTCATTTGCTTTGTCAGCAGAATTTAACACTAATTTTAAATGTAGATATCAAAGTTAACTTAAATATTAACATATCTGTAATAAACTGTTTTTTCGTCTAAACCGAATAATTTCGTTTGGAACAATAGCAAAATATGTCAAAAGAATTACTACTTGTAGTAAAAGCATTGAATTCAGTCCGCCTGAGCTTATTTAACTTGAAAATCGAATGGGAACAGCTACTAACATTCAAAATACTCTTTTTCACCACCCGCCAAGCGGTGACCACCTGTATTGGCCAGTGTTGTAAAACGCGGTTGGCCACCGAGTGCCTGGCAACTCTGCAAATGTGCGAATGGGAACTCAGCGCAGAGAAATACAGTACGTATTCTACGACGAAAATAAATAAATAAACACGAAAGATACGGAGACAAGCGGAGAAGGATGTCTGCACGAATGCTGAAGAAGCTGCAGGGCGACGCTGATTTGCTGGCGCCGCCGCCGGAGGACGAGGATTGCGAGGAGCTGTCGGACAATGATGAACTGGAGGACAGCGATATGCGGCGCGACCGCAAGTCGCACTTGAATCCATTCGATCTGGTAGGCCTCTAATCTTAATCGCCAGCTCATCAACTATCCACGTAATCTCCAAACCCCCCACCCCCACCCCCTTCATCTTTTCCAGCTCAATCAACCCGGTCTGAGTCTCTCGGAGAGCGAGTTCAAGGAGGACGACAACGAAACGGAGCACCCCTCGGCCGCTCTGCCAAATCCCAGTGCCACCGCGGCCAAGAAGAAGAAAAAGAAGCGCAAGAAGAAGGCCAAGTCCAGTGGCAATCACATCAGCAGCGAGGACAACGAGCGCCAGGACAAGTACTTCGAGAAAGTGGATCCGCTCCTGGGCAAGGTCTACGATGCGGTGCCCAAACAATCGGCGAAACAAGTGGCATTGGCATCCGCATCCGCTGCCGCAGCCGCCGGAAGCTCAGCCAAAAAGAAACTGCTGGCCGTGGAGCTGCGCCACCTGAATTCGCAAAACGAGATGCGACGCACCTTCGGCAAGAGAGTGGTCAAAGTGGAGTAAGTTTGGGCCACAGTTGAAGGAGTAACTATCTTATAACCCAGAGTAAACCGCTTCCATTGCCACAATTTTCCATTTCAATATCCTAACTTACAAAAGCCAAGTCAGAAAATAAGTGCTTATATGATTTCATCATATTATAATTAAGAAAAACTCGTCATCAACAAGTTTGTAGTGAATGATTAGTGGTGATCTAAGATAAAAATGTTTACTTTCGTATTGTCATAGCTTTTAGTAAATTAGTAACCAGCTTTATAATTGTTTAAAACTAATTTCAGAACCAAGCGCGGCAGGCAGAAGCCCACGCTTAAATCCACCTACATGGTGACTGCCAAGGAATCGTGGCCGCCGCTGACCAAGAACACCGTCACCATGAAGCTGCTGCCCGCCCCCGACTCGCCGTCGGTGTCCTCCAAATCCATCACAGACAGTGGAGCCGAGGTGCAGTGGTTCGCCTTTGAGCACAGCCAGTACTACCAGGGAGTGCAGCATATGTTTTTGTCCGCCCTCGAGCGCATTGACTCGGAATTCCTAATTACGCTGATCAAACGATGTCCCTACCACGTGGACTCTTTGGTGCAGCTCAGCGAGGTGTGCAAAATGACCGAGGACTTTGCCCTGGCTTCCGAGCTACTGGAGCGCGCCCTGCTCCTCCTGGAATCGTCGCTGCACATCAACTTCAGCCTGACGTCGGGCAACTGCCGACTGGACTACCGCCGCCAGGAGAACCGCTCGTTCTATATCGTGCTGTTTAAGCATGCCCAGTACCTGGAGGAGCGAGCCTGCAGCCGCACCGCCTTCGAGATCTCCAAACTGCTGCTCAGTCTGCAGCCGGACACGGATCCGCTTGCCATGATCCTGGTCATTGACTACTATGCCCTGCGCAGCAAGCAGTTTGGCTGGCTGGTGGAGTTCTACGAGGAGTACAATGCCGCCAGGAACCTCAATCAGCTGCCCAACATGGCCTACTCGTATGCCTTGGCTCTGCACACGCTCCATGGTGCCTGTGAGCGTTCCAACCAGGCGCTCCAGTATGCCCTGCTCATGTTCCCGGGTGTGCTGCGTCCCCTGCTGGACGAGATGTCCGTGCAGACCGACAAACGGGTGCTGGCCTCGTCGTACTTCTTTGCGGATGTGTCGGGCAAGTAAGTGGGGTCTTATCTCCTGCGATGATTAAGTGAAATTGAATGCCTTATCATGTCCACCAGTCAATCGCCCGCCCTCCATCAGCTGGTGTGCCTGTATGTGTGCCGTGCCCGTGTCGTTTGGCGTCAGAACGAGGTGCTACCCTGGCTGGAGTCCAACGTGAACGTAGTGCTGGATCGCATTGACAACAAGGAACCCATTGTCAACGAATACAAGGAGAAACGATCGCTGCGTTATGGTGGAACTCCGCCTAGACCCATCCTGCGGCACGTCATACTCTCCGACTACAAGGAAAAGGTGCCTCTGGCCGTCTTTGTGTCCAAGGAGAAGCAAGCCATCATGACCTATGACCCACTGCCGCCACCGAACAGCGTCAACTGCTACCAGCGGTAGGTCTATCCAGTTCAGGAACACCCCATTCAAATACTTGTTTACAGTGAACACTTATTTATCCAAATTTCGAATCTCTGCTTTATAATCAGAGGAATAATAGACTGAGAATCCATTCAATTTAACTGCATAATTTAATCCATTAAATTTCGTTTTTGAAGTCCGAATTTAATTTTGTGCACCACTCAGCCACTCAACCACTGTGACCTCTATATTTCGATAGACTTTCTAAATGGTTAACTCATATAAACTTCAGTAATCAACTCCAAAGACCAATTCTTTGCAGCAAATCTTCATCAAGCAGCAGCCCCACAACGAATACGAGCAATTCCGTATCGATGTTTTTCCAATCGCTTTTGCCTTCTTTCAACATTAACAACCTGGCACAAGCTGCTCAGCCACAGGAAGCTGGAGCAGCAGGAGCAGCAGCACCACCAGCAGTAGCAGCTCCAGCTCCAGCTCCAGCTGAAGCTAACATTGAAGCTGGAGTTGAAGCAGGAGCTGCCGGAGTTGCAGGAGCCATTCGTGAGGCAGAAGGTACGTAAAAGTACTTATTTATTAAAGAATTTCTTATGATAATAAGATTGCATCGTTGCTGTATCGTCACAGAAAATGGATCTTAAGATGTTTATGATTTGGCTTTATTTCATTCATGGCCGTAAACATATTTGTTAAAGCGAAAAATGCAATTGATTGCATTTTAACGTACAATTTGTTCTTTATTTTACTTTAAATGCTTGTTTGGAAACATTTGGTGCTGTTCGAATCTGTTTTAAAAATGTAGTTTTTTTTCCCAAAATTCCGAAGAGAAGAATCACAACCGGATGTTCCATTTACGAACCTCTCTCGAAAATATTGCAGAAGCTGGACTGCAGCACCCGCTGAGGTGGATGGATGCCATGCGGGAAATCCTACAGAATTTCCGGATCGCTGAGCACTTGCGCCTACCGGAAACGGCGGCGGCTCAGTCCTCTGACAGCAATGACGAGGAGGAGGGCTCCTCCGACTACGTGGATTAGTCAATTTGTCAATTACGTGAAACGTATCAAAGTTTGTCGGATTTGGGGCTGGAAAACGTGTTTTTATTGGAAACCACCTTTTGCTATTCCCTCAGCTAAGCGACACCGTCACAAAATTAAAATATATACAACATATATATATATATACATATTAGAGCAATTTGAACACATACATAATATGAACTTATGCATTGAATAAAATTTTCCAGTACAAGCTTTAGATCAAAAGCGGCGACCGTGTTGAGCTTAAAGATTGTTTTATTGATTTATTTAATGCCTTTTCAATTACGCTTATCAATATAACAAACAGATTTCTCATCAATATTCCTTTTTTGTTCATTCAGTTTTTCTGCGCTTTCCCATTTTGTCTCTCTTAAAACCATTTTTTTTTTTTGCAGTTATTGCAATTATAAATATTACTATGACAAGTAGGGGTTTTCCATATATAATTGTGTATAGAGCTGGGATGTCCAAGAGCATAGTTTGGTGTGACTGTGTGTGATCGTGTTTGAGTATAGTAAAAAGTCGACTTCTAGAAATAATGCACCTTAATTAGCGGGGTTTAACTGGCAGACATCAGAGTTGTTGCTTTAAAGTTAGCTTAACAGAAACACACAAAATTAAGAAGAACGAAAATGATTTACACAGAGTTAAGAGCTTAACACATACATATATAGAAAAGAATCATTACTAATACTTAAGCGTGGAATACATAATCGCAATATATATATACGGTTGGAGAACAAATCAAATTTCAAATTGGAAAATAAATCAATAATAACTGCTGCAGGCCGATTTGATCGGATCAATTATGTCATGGTGCCGAAAACTGGATTGTGACGGCAAATGCTGGGTCCATACTCCTCGTAGGCAGCCTTCGTGTGACACACCTGATAGAACTCGGGCTGAAAAATGCAAGATGCAAATGCAAGGCTATTATAATGTCCTCTGGTATAATAAGGTAGTACAACTCACCGTTGAGGCCAACATGCTGCCTCCAAACCACACGGCATACCGCTGCATGTGATGCGTGATCACCTGAACATCAATTGGTTTTGGCTGTAACAAAAATCATGAAATCATGAAGTTAGTGTATGACTCATCAAGTGCTGGGATTGCACGCACCTTAATGCGTCCCTCGGACAAATTCTCGCTGATGCGGAGGCGCGTGTCCACCGATCGCTTGATATCTCGCTGCAACCTCCTGCCAAAGTCCTTGAACATCGTGGAGCCACCGCTCAGGACAATGTTGTTGTACAGCGGGCGCCGCACATCGATGGGGCAGTTCTGGATGACATTATCCACTATCTCCGATAGCGGAATGGTGAAGTCGGGATTCGAGAACTCCGGATGGAAGAAGATCTCGGGTCCCAGGAAGCGTTCGTAGCCCACATCCACGCTGAACGGCGCCTTGGTCACCGTGTTGACGCCCGTAAAGTTCCGTATCCACTTGCCCGGCTCCGTGTCGTACTTGGCAAATTCTTTGGCGATATCCGGACAGATGTAGCAGTGCTTCTCCTTGATCGCTTTGGCAGTCTCCAGGCTCTGTTCCGGCGGTATTCCCACCTCCCGTTCACGCAGCAGGCTCTGGATGAACGACGTAATGTTGCGGCCTGCAATGGGGATGTGCTTGATGCAGGAGCCGATCACGTAGCCCTCGGCCTGTGAAAGAAAATCAGGTTATTTATTTTATTTAATATCCGAAAGAAGTCTTATCGATGTTGTGTTAAAACTATAAACGTGAAACAAAATTAAAGCCAAACCAAGTCCAACTTTTTTATAAATTTTTAAGTACTTTTTACCATTTAAAAAATAAATCACAATATATGCACCGTAATTGTCCTTTTCAAACATCATAAACATATGCATATACATACATATTCTTTGTTAAAAAAAAATACTATTACTGTACAAGTAGGACTCGTTCTCAGCTGCCTTTTTTTAACTCCAATAATGATAATTATCCCCTTCCCCTTCGGGTAACCACTGTACTCACTACACAAACACAACTACGCCGATAAGATATGGACTGTGCTATTTACCACTGGTATAACATGCGTCACTCCATCGCCGCTGTCCACCACAATGCCCGTGAGGGTGCGCTCCTCGGCGGAGCGGGAGGCCCAACTGGCGGCCAGGGCGAGCACCGCCTGCACGGCGATGTACAGGCCAGGAACGTTGAACGTTTCGAACATGATCTCCGCCGTGTACTCCCGGTTCTCGGGAGTATTTAGCGGGGGCTCGGTCAGCAGGAAGTAGTGATCCTCGGGCTCGGCGCGCAGATACTTAAAGATGCACTGCTCCAGGAAGCGCTCCATCAAGTCCCAGTCCTCCACCAGACCATGACGCACCGGATACTGAAGAAAAAGTAGACAAAGATGAAGTGGCTGGTTGGTTGATTGACGGATCAAGAGCAAACCTTGATGGAGTAACCGGTGGCATCGAAGGCCTCATCCCCAATGAAGAAGTCCAGGTCCTCGATGCCTTTTGTGATGCGCCTTGTGTTGGTATCGCCCACCCTGGCCGACTCCTTGATGGCAATGGCCGAGGGGATGATGAACTGCGGCTCCTTGTTCCCGGCAAAGCCCAGTTTGGAGTAGCTGGAAATGCACGATAAACAGGGTATTAGTCAGACGACCTCTTTTTCCGGCCAAGCGGAGATTGGAGACCCCCGCGGGCAATCGAAACTAAAAACTCACCCGGTGCCCACATCGATTACGCATGCCGGTAGCCTGCCTGCCATGGTCGCTGCTCGTCCTTTTGCTTTGCTGCCTGTTCAAGCTCTTGAGTTGCAATCCTAGCTCGCCTTTGGCACTGATTTGAGATCGTTCCAGCCGCAGATAAACACCGTTTTCTATATATTTTCAACCACACCTCCGCCAACGATGTGTCACTTTGCTCTTCGTCACACACACATTCGCGTGTTCTCGTACAAGCAGCCAGGGCTGCAACAATCGATAGGCAGTGCATATTGATTGGCGATTAATCGGAATAGTCTGTTCGGGCAAGCGGCGCATCTCCTAGATGTTAAATTACAATAATAATTGGATTTCCCACTGTAAACACTTTTAAAAAAAAACTGAATGTACAAAAAATAACTTATATTTTTATTTGAAAAACCAATTGTATAATTGCTAGCACATTTTTCTAGTTGCTAGTTGTTGCGGCACTGATGCGGTTGTGGCTACAGTGTGAAAGCCCCAAACGTGTCGTATTTCCGATAGCATTCTTTGAAATACTGCAGACTAATTCTTTCGAAATAAACATCTAGAGGAGGCGGTTAGACTAGCCAAATCGGTCTTGAATTTTTTTTCTCAAAACGAATAATACTTAAAGGAAAAAAGGAATAAAAAAAGCTTTAAAATGCCCAGCATCAAGTTGCAATCTTCGGATGGGGAGATATTTGATACAGACATCCAGGTCGCCGAACGCTTCGGAATTATTAAGAGTTTGTTGGGGGATTGCCCGGAGGATGATGAGAATACCCCTGTGCCGCTGCCCAAGGTAAATTCCACGATCCTCCGCAAGGTTTTGAACTGGGCCCAACACCACAAAGACGACGTGGAGCCCACGGAGGATGACGAGAACAAAGACACGGATGAGATAAGCTCCTGGGATGCCGATTTTCTAAAAGTCGACAAGTCTATTTTGTTTGGTATCATAGCCGCTGCCAATTATTTGGAAATCAAGGAACTTCTGGAGCTCACCTGCCAGGCGGTGGCCAATATGATCAAGGGCAAGACTCCGCAAGAGATACGCAACATCTTCAACATCAAGGATGACTCTACCTCTACTCGTTCCGAGGAGCAGCAGGCTTAACCTTATGTCATACAAATACCTAATTTATGTATTTAATTAAAACATATATTTTATAATAAATATTGTACTCCATCATTCTGCGCCAAATATTGTAACTTATGGTTTTTTCTTTTGTACACAAATATTCAATATTTAACAAACAGAGAAATATTTAAAAGAATTTATTTAAGGTATTTGAACATTAACTAGAAAAACGTGCTCTAACTTTTGAAAATGAAAAGGAGCTTTGCACAGAGTATAGGAAATTGCACGATCGGATATTTATGGGAAATATTTCTGCAGAGCCCCGGTTTCGAACATGCGTTTGATATCTGTGCCGCCTCCAACGAATTTGCCATCGATAAAGACGCGGGGAACCTAAAAAGTACAAATACATATATTGCATTGATATGCACAAATTGCTGAACAAATAACTAAGCCCACCGTTTTGGCCCCTGTAATTTGGCCCAGAACCGCCTGAATCTCATTGCCATCGGGGTTCCCATCGAGCTCTATAATGTGGGCATCCACGTTGAGTTTCCGGAATGGCTAGAAGATAAGAGATGTAATCTCGTTTTGGGACTTTTGAAGGTCTCGTTCGTTTAATTACTTCTTTAGCCATCGTGCAGTACGGACAATAGGTTTTACTAAATATCACAACCTTATTGCTGGAAATTGTGTTTTCCACGAATTTCGCTTGCTTGGTAGACATATCGACTATTGGTGATTTCAAAGCGGATCCAACTGCGCCCATAAGCTCGAAGTCCAGGAGAGGGTACGGAAACTTCGGGGGCGTGGCAGGGTACAACAAAAGCTGCGACAGGTGTAAGCTGCGGGAATAATCTCTTTTTTATTTCGTTTTTTTTTTAACTAATCAGATGTTGTGGTGGTCGCCAGAGTTGTCACCCCGCGCAATTGTGTACCATCGCGTAATTTTAAGCATGCTTTTTTCGGCAATTCCAATATATATATATATGTATTTATACAAAATAGAAGGCAGTCGTTGGTAGGTGTGCACAATTAAAACGACTTAATAAGATCTAATAAAAAACAAACGGCTGTCTAAATTATTGTGTGGCGTTGCCACATCAACCGATTTTGTAACTTGTAAATAGTAAGGGGTTTCCAGAATTTGGTTTTGTTTTAATATAATTTCTGATAAAAAATATATCTATATTGTTTAAACTATGGTTAATGTAGCAACTTTGTTCTTGTTTAAAGTGTAAATGTGCTAGAAACAACGAAATGCTTTCCACGAATTCAGACTTAAATCAAATCTAAAGCTCTTTCTGGAATCCCCTATTAAATCTTTTAGCAAATTACACTGCTTATTGCACTTGAAGGCACAAATTGGAGACATTCTCGAGTTGTGGGCCATTTAACCATTTAGAAATTGCTCCAGGGCATCCGTATCCTTGGCCTCCACTTCGTTGGCTTCCAGGACCACCTCTTCCAAAGCCAATCTGTTGCTATTGGTTTGAATTTCTACAAGAAACGATGTTTTAGTTTAAAGATTTGATAGGTTTTATGTTTTCAGAATTACTTGTCAGCTGGCCGTGCTGTTTGTACTCCTCCATATCGCCACGGAAGGCATCATCGAAGACCGCCTGTCGTTCCCTCTGAAGTTGCAGCAGCTTCTGCTCCTGATCTTTGATTTTGGCTTGGTGTTTAGAGGCTACTTGCTGGCGATACTGCTCCAGTTCGTTGAGCTTCCGCTGCTTGTGTCGGGAAAGTTGAAACTGCTGCTCGAGGATGAACTCCTGGAGTTCGCATTCCTCGCACAGGTCCTCCAGTTTCTCCAGCTCAACCTCCAGTTGCTGGCCCATTTGCTCCAGCGACTGCAGGGTCTTTGAGCTGGCTTGCAGTTGGGCAATCAACGTTGGAATCCCCGACAGACTGCTGTTCAGCTCGCTAATGATCCTGCGCTGATTGCTGGCCCGTTGCTGGACACCTGAGATTTGGGTGGCAATCTCTGCAGCCTTTTCCGCATTTTCCTCATTGGCCCCGTGGATCTGCTGCCAATCATCCTCATACTTGGCCAGCAAACTGCAGCCGGCTGCCACATTCAGATGGCTGGGCACTCCATCCGTCAGCTGGAAGGGAGCACTGAGGGAGAGATTACTGCTCCTGCTGGACGACAGACTCTCGTTGAGGCCCAGTGGCGAGGTGGGAGTGAATGTCGTAAGCCCACTGGCTTGGCTGCTCCCCGAATTGTTTCCGGAACTGACACGCTGGCGATATTGCTGCTGCAGGTTCTCCGATATCACCAGGCCCTCCTGAATTGCACTGCTCAGTTTCTTTTTCAGGTTCCCAAACATCCTGTAGCCACGAACTTCTCTCTATTTAGTTCAGCAATTTCTAATCGACTATTTGCTGTCGTTTTCATTCGAAATTAAGTGGTAAATAAAGAATCAGCTGTTTTGGCAGGTGGCGAGAGAGAGAGAGAGAGTGGGAGAAATCGGCCAGAGAGAGCAACAGTTTAGCACCCTACATATGAGGCATATTCGTTTTTAGAAGAAAGAAATTAAAAAAATGCAACTTAAGTGATTAATTTAAACACCACCTTTTGTTAATACTTTGCTTTTATTTATTTTGTATTTTAAGTCTTCTGAAAAATGTTTCTTTTGCTCAAATTTCCCTGAATAAGTGGACCATAACTTGATGACATTAAAACTCGACAGCAGTGTAGACGGCTTGTTTAAAATGAAATCAAAACCCAATTAAATACTGGTACTTCTTAAAAATGTCAAAGTCATCGAAAGTCGCAACCTATCGATAGTGGTTTAAAAAATGGCGACCGGCAACGAAAATAGGCTTCGTTTGGTTAAAATAAACTTTTATTGGTAAAATCACATAATAATGTACCACTAATATCACAGGTGAATCACAATCAATCTGATGCAGATACCACTCGATCTATTTCCTACCCGCTATCACATTTTGCATCCAGGGCACGTATTTACTGACGCGCGTATAGATTCCGGGCAAACCGGGACGAGCACAACCAATTCCAGTGGACACCACGCCCACCAAATGATGCTCCTTGGACATCAGTGGGCCGCCGGAATCCGCCTGTGAAGGTAAGTAAACCGAAAGCATAAAATTTGTGCTGTATCGGCCAATTGAATACTCACCCAACACGAATCAATTTGACCGTTCTCAAAGCCCGCGCACAATTGTGTCTCCCCGATGGTATTGCTTTTCCCCAAGGATCTGTAGGACCTCTCGCAGGCCTCGTTGTTCCAGATCTTGACGGTGGCCTTGCGCAGAACGTCGGATCGATCGTTCTCCGCTTGGTTCTCGTGTGTCCAGCCCCAACCGGAAACCGTGCCGTACTCCTGCTCCAAAGTTCGGTGTCCCTCATCGGATCCCACGCAGCTGGGCTGGATGTGGGCGGAGAATCGGATCGGCTGCACCAGTTCCAGCAGTGCTGTATAAAAATTATATTTATATTTTACCATATTGCAGGGTTTGCTAACAATCGTTTCCGTTTTTTACTTTCACTCACTCGAGTTCGAATCACAGTACTATTTTATGAGTATCATTAGCAATATGTTTTTTTCTTTATCATCTCAGTTTTTGCAAAACAGGAATTTTATATTCACTTAATTTACTATAATTTAAATTTCAACTCACACTTTTTTAAATATTTTGATCTATAATTTTTACTAGATCGAATAAGTTGTAAATTATGTACCTACTTCAATTTAAATTATGAGTTTTATACATATATATAACTAATGCTTTTCGACCAGCATCTTAGCTTGCATCTGTAAAAATCCTAATTGGCTATTTTTTTAACTAATGAATGTTTTATATATTATGCAACTCAATAATTATCATTTCATTATTAAATTCAATTTGTTTACCTAAAAAATACTATCTTTTGAAACATTGGTTCTGGCCATTGGTCGAAACATAGTACATACACAACACAAATTCGATTTGTATTAACAAAAAACTAAATTTCTCAAAACTAGAACATCAGATCGGCACCTACCTATATCATGCTTGACATCATTACACTCGTACTGCGGATGGGGCACTATGTTCTTGAAGTCCACTCTTAGAGCATCCGGACCGTTGCCAATTCCGTTGAGATATTCTTTGATGCTGTGCAGACCCACCACTCCTTGGATTTGAGCTGGTTTCATGAACTGCTGCAACCCATTGCAGATGCAATGTCCTGCCGTAAGGATCCACCTTTCCGAGATGATTGTGCCGCCACAGAAGTGACCACCACGACGCATTAGACTGACCATAAAGGGCATTTCGTTGCGTTCCGCCTCGCTGCCACCCACGATTTTAGGATTTCGAACCGAGCAGGGCTGATTGGTAACTATCATGGGAGTCAGTGGAATCATTTTTCAGGTGAGTTTTAAAGAGTTTATCTGATTTGAGGGTCAACATAAAGTCAATTGTGCCAATTTAAATAATCATGTTTGATGCAGGCAAAGATTTGACTTATTATTTTTAAATAACTATTTAATTGTTGTGGCATTAGATTTTAAACATATCACAAAAGGAAAAATAAAGCAATCATATTACAAAAGGAGTTAGCAATGTTTAAAACAAAAACGTAATAAACAGAATTATATTTCTTTTGGTTTTTTTTAATTTTATTGTACTTCATTGAAATCCAGAACAGGAAATGTAATGTTTTTAGATAACATTTATATAAAAATATACAAACTTTGAACAATTTAAGCCTAAGTTCAAGAGAACCCATAAATCAAAGAATGTTAGTATAAACAAACGTATTTCTTGAGAATATAATTTAAAAATTATATTATTAGAAACACCGACCTCAATTTTATGCTTGTATGTTGATGATTGGCTTTACTTATGTTAGAACACATTGATTAAAGTTTTTGTCAGATGTACTCATATTCATTAAACTCACAAGCAATTTGGGATTGGCCATATTTCACCAGCGACAGTATCGCGATTAAAAATACGATTTTAAACATTTTCTGTGTACACAACTAGAGTTCTGAGCACCAAAAACCCGTTAAGCACGGTTCAAGCTTAAACGAAACTGCCACAAATATTCTGTGCGCCAATTAATTTATATATAGGTGTCTCTAGGCGTCGTTTCTGTTTCTGTTCCACTGACTTATTTTTTATTTTCGTCCGGTGTTCTATGCGGATTAGCCGGAAAGCTCTCTGTGGGCCAACTCTCTGTCGCTCTCTTGGCCTGATAACAAACGGAAGTTGGCCATTTAGCACCTGTTGCCTTAAGCTCTGAGCTTTTTTCCACGCTGCACTGACTGTCTCATCGTTTTGTGTGGGTGTCATGTGCACACGTTTCGGCATTTCAATTGGCTCGACGGCAGAAATAAGGAGCTGCCAAAAAACAAAACGAAAGCCATACAAAACGTTAACAATAGCCGAAAATAAAGTTTTCGTATGTTTTGCGTTTTATGACCCAACGAAGTTCATGACATTGAATAGTGTACGACAAAAGGTGTGACAATATTTATGCTGAATTTTTGTTGGTACCTCTATAGGGGGGTTGGCGCTCAGTTTAATGCCCCATTATCCTTATTTAAGTATTTTATTTGTGCAATTAATAACACGTTGGTATGTAAGGTGTTATTGAGATTGTTGTATGATTAATAACGAAACGGAAAAAATATTGATACGTTTAATTTAGGCGCTAAATCCGTTGTTAATCATATGGCATCCCATTGCATAATAATTGCTTTTAATATTTTGTATTCTGATTTCATAGAAATATTTACTTTTAAAAGATTTGAAAAAGTAATTTAAAATTTTATTGAATACTTTTATTATTTATTCACATTTTACAGTAAATTAAAAATTGCATAAATCTACCACTTTTATAATTTGAGTTTGTTGTGTGTCGAAAAGTTGAAATTGAAATAATTTTTCTAAAGAAGTAGAATGCTTTATTTTGGTATAAAATTAGTCATTACTTGTATAAAATAAAATTTCCTAGACCGTGAAACCTTCGTTTATCGTAGTAATCGTTATAGTTTTGTCATTGCCTGCATTTGGCATAGTTAAGTTCTCTCATTGTAAATAACCTTAGACGTCATATTTCCATCAGCGGTGGGTCTATTATGCAAATGAAGATGTCTGCGTTGCATATGAATATCGTGATGGGACCAAAAATTAATTGAAATTCAATGTCGTTACAATCAATGTAATATTAGCGGTCTGACATTAACATTGCCCTTAAAATTAACGCAATCGTGGCTCAAACACTCAATGCAATTGCCGACATTGTGAGGTCGCTCTATGAGCCTAATTTATCATAGCAATTAATGCAGGTGGAAGTGAAGTTCTCTGTTATTTAATAATTATTATGTCTGAATAACAAGGAATGGAAATAAGCAAACAGGAATTGAAACTGAAAGTTAAGGCGAAAAAGTGTATGACAAATCTGCAATCCAAACCATAAATAATTCATTATCTAGAATCTCGATTCTCAGTCAGGGCAGACAAATCAGTTCAGTAGATCACGCAAATACATACGCTTGAATACTAATTGATTTCTTGACTTTGGTTCCTTAACCGAAAACCAGATACCATCCCATCCGAGTTCATCGATCGCGGCAAGTTGTTTCTATTCAGTTTCGCACTAAATGCTAATTCACAAAACAAATCTCCTATAAAAACACTATCCATTGTCTGTCGTTGACAGGCGATACCAAATATAAATAATAATAACAAACACGAGTGCGGGGCTCCACAGAAACAAGTTTCAAGTGCATTGACACAAGCTATTGGGCAAAACTTGGGCGCATTCAATGTGAAGGTCGTTTCGATTTTGTGGTACTTTTGTTTGACAATTGTTTTTGCTACACTTTTGTTTTCATTTTGCCAAAGTTCAACGACGCTATTTTTTGGTGACTAATTGCAATGGGGAAGTCTTTGCTTGTCGTTAATGCGGGTGAGTTTAGAGCCATAGGAAATGTTTTGGGGCACACTGAACCCATCAAGCTGCAAGCTTTTAGAGCTACTTACTCACATATTTAAAACGTTTTGACATTCGTTTTCTTTCCAATAATTAACTAGTTTTGCGTCGCATTGCATATATCAATATTTATTTATTTAGTTAGTCAGTAATGCCATACAGTCTTTCTGTGATGTTCAAAGGGGACTTAAAAATTAAGATACCAAAACAATGTCTTATAAACTTTTAAAAACTAAACTAAAAGACTAAGGAGCAAAAAAGTTACAAGCTTTACAATATTATAAAATGACATAATGTTATTATGTAACTAAAGATTCAAAATGTACAGCTTATATTTTTATGCAAAAACATTTGAATATCAAAATATTTTCTAATTTGCTCTTAAAAAAGTACCAAATCTTACAAAGATTTAAAGAAAAATGAGTTAATATATTATCAATTACATTGATATATAATTTAGTTGTTTAAATTATCTAAGTTATTTAATCTACCTTATTTAATAAATCAAATCAGTGTTCACTTACCATTTTGAAGTCTAATTAAATCACATTCGTTGTGAGGATCACTTATTTGGTTTCAATTATTGCTCGAAAGCCAGCTGTTAAATAGTAAGGGCTTTCTGAGCAACAATCAAAATTATATAAGTGTCCGTTCCAGGAACTCTTATATAAAACAACCAAACTTAGCCAAAGGGTTAACACAATTTTGAGAATCACAATGCACAAGGTAGGGGACTTATTTTGGGCAGGCCAACACGTCTGCTCGGTGTGAGAGCCGCACCGGAACTGCAATACGGTTGTCCATTCCCTGACGTTGTATCCTTGTGATCCTGTCGAAAGTTGCCACGCAACACGAAGTGCCATCGTGAACCGAGCGGAAGCCAACAAGGAAGCAACATCCCTCGTGTTGTCGGTTGCTTTTATCCTTTGGGCCTATGCGGCGTATGCGTGTTATGCAAGCGACAGCAGCTCGGCTTTCGCTCGGCATCCTTTCCACAGGCGACCAATGAGCGTTCTGGCCCTTGTTTTTGTTGCCTTGCTTGCGAAAATCACTATTCTCTGTTGCGCAGGCGTAAATTATGTCAAATTTTGAATTTTTACCTATAGTTATTTATTGTTTTTTAGTTGGAACGCCCCGAAAGTTGGTTTCAATTTATTCCTAGATAATTTAAACTGTTTTAAATTGTTTAAATGGCTTTTATTAACTGCATTTTTTGGCGAGTTTGACCGATTAATGTATTTATAAAGGAAAAATATTTGTAGCTTCCGATAATTTATAGTCGATAATGTATTTTTGTGAAATTTCTTACAGTTTTTTTGAATGAAAATTTAATAAATAATGATAATTCCGTAAAAGTGGGTATTAGAAATTTGAAAAAAATATGCATATTTTTCTAATAACCCGCAGAAATTTTAAACATTTCAAACCTTTTTGGTACCAATATTTTCGGTTTACTGGTAGCAATGTATTATTTTCAAAAATGCATTCAAGTATATAATGTATGTCAAATAAATTAGCTTTTGTGTTTATTGTTCTTAATATGATTAGATTAGATTAACGTTGCTGTAATTTCTGATACTTAATGGAGTCAAAGGGGCTTTGATTTTCTCGAATCCGTGAATATAGTAAAACAATTGTACATTTTCTTTATATATTTAAACTTTAAGATGGCAGTCCCTCAGAGAATATCCCTTATCAATTTACTCAGCGCCACCGCTCTTCAATTATTTGCAAACAGCCGCAACTAAAACACAATCAACACATTCGCAAACTAAATTTCCAAGAGCTGACACTTACATTTTATTTGGCAAATTGTGATTGACAAGCTGTTGACACGCTTTTAAGAGGTCGAGGGCTGAATAGATAACCGAGGGATAGTCCCACTTAACCCCTTTCGCGGCTGGGAGATTTTTCGCAATTAAATATTGAAGCCAACACACATGGACACAACATGCAACACAGCAAAGAACTGGGAAATGCAGCGATTGCAACCGAAGTGCATCAAATATGCTGGCTAAATTATTTATGTAGTTGTTTCGGAGGCGAGGCCTTTGCAACATTTCAATATGCTAATTACTTTTTGACTTCGCCGGGGATGTGGCAGAAACAAATGCAAGTGGGCGCCATTGCCACCAAAAAGGAAAGCTAGAAAGGTAGAAAGGTAGAGCAAGTGCTAATCATTGCAAGATGCCTGCCACGATTTCCCAGGTGAATGCTAGTTCTGTAACAAATGCCAAAATCCATCGAAGGCGACACTTCAACCGAAAGAAACAGCGAAACTTAGGCAGGGCATGGTGAGGAATGGAAAATGTGTCTACAATTTGGAGAAGGAAACGGAAACTTCACAGACCTGACATCATCGTCTCTGGGTTCTCTGGGTAAGCGCAAAACCCTTATCCATCCTATTCCGCGGCATTGTTTTTGCGTGACAATTGGGCCAATTTATTATTCATTAGGTTAAAAAGTCACAGAACAACACAAACCGAGGCACCGAGCCCAAACTGACAGCCAGCCAAGTCTCAGCCATTTGTAATGCCACGCCAAGTGGTGGCTTCCATCCGATTTCACCGGGCGGAAGGGATGCCGATGCCCTGATGGATTCCGGCCAGCACTAGCAGTTCAACAATTTAACCGGCAACTTTTCGGGGAAAATCTTCTAATTGATTTGCTGGAAAAAATCTTGTTTACCTTTTTACCTTCACAACTTTCGGTTCAAGTTTAATTCAGACAGTTGCGGTTCGAGATTTTTTGTTGGCTAATTAGATTGTGAACAGATAAACAATGAAAACAAAAGCTAAGACATGAGACAAGGGTATTGTTTAAAGTTAAAGGTTAGTTTTCTAATAGTAAATAGCTTGGGCCGAGTGTATAATTTCAGTTTTCAATTAATTAGTTAAAGTCAGAAAGAAGAAATTTCATAGAAAAACTGTTGCAGGATTAGAAAATAGTTAATTTATGTTTGATCATAAGCAGTTGGTAAAATAATGTTATAATGTTATGTTATTTCGAATGTTGAACATATTTAAAATTAAGGAGATTAAATTGTATTTTGATTTTTATACATAAATAAAAAATAGTATACAG